GTGGGTTAATTTGTTTCAAGTGAGACCTCTTCAACCCTAAATCCTCCTCTATTAGCATAGATAAACAAATATTGTAATAAAGGGATATACACTGAAGCAACATTTACATAGACGGAAGAAAGTGGAATAAACAGCTGATGAATAAAAATGAATCATGTTAAAATACCAGTCTTAATATTCTTATAGGATTTCTTCTTCATGGTATATCTCGTACCATGTCTTTCGGTTGTGCTGTTCTTTTTTCATCTCGTTACAGGTGATGAAGCAGACTGAAAATGTTTTGTCATTTTCTCCTTTCCATCTCCTCTTTCTTTCATATTTTCTCTTTTTTTTCTTTTTCTTCTTCTGTTTTTCCTCTTCTGTTCTATTTACATTGCAGTGTCCATATAAACTGTAAAACTCCCTGCATAATTATAATAAAGCAATTTATATGCATGAAACAAGTGGAGCAATATGGCAATTGCCATACTGCTACACTTGTGAAAGTAAAACCTGTTGGGCTCTTTTTGGCATCAAGACAATTATTCTTATTGCCACATTGCCAGACAGGACACTGTTACCAGCTGACCTTTAAAGATCATGTTACCTCTGTCTCTCTATCTTTTTGCTTCACACTACTAAACATAAGAAATATCTGGCCATACCTAACCCAACATGCTACCCAGCTCCTGTTGCAGTCTATTGTTATCTCCCGCCTTGACTATGGTAAAGCACTCCTGACTAGTCTCCAAGCCTGTACAATAAGACCGCTACAAATGATCCAGAATGCGGTGCAGTATCTGGTCTTTAATTAGCCCAAAAAGTCTCACGCCTCCCCCCTGTTCATTGAGCTTCACTGGTTACCCCTGGCTGCCCGCATTAAATTCAAGTCCCTAATGCTAGCCTACAAAGGGTGCGGCTCCCGTCTACTTGAACTCTCTAGCAAAGGCTTATGTCCCAACTTGGTCACTCTGGTTATCAATGGATTGTCGTCTAACAATGCCTACACCACTTTTAAGACAATCCAGACTGTTTTCATGGGTTGTTCCAAGATGGTGGAATGACCTGCCAAGTGCTAAAAGAACAGCAGTGTCCCTTTCTATCTCCATTAAACTCCTAAAGACCCACCTCTTCAAAGATCATCTCCTGTCCTAACTCTTAGCCATAGCTCTGCACCCCTCTACTGTTTCTGTACTTCTCTGTTTCACCACTGATTCTGACCAGGGGTGTTCCTCTAGAGAACGTATTGTCATATTTATGTTGTGTCTTCTTTGTGAGTCACTTTAGATAAAAACATCTGCTAAATGCATAGACATAAGAATAAATTACACATTTGTAGACTTCGTTACACATTTACATATAGATTGTACAATCCAATTTTTTTTCTTTTTTTTAGTCCAATCACATTTGAATCATATTTTGTCCAAGTAATCATAGCTAATGTGTCAAACTAATAGTGCCCCATTCTTCTCTTTGCTTTCTCTGTATCTCTTTTCTTCAGTGTTTGGTTCTGGTTCACTTCTAGACATAGACATAGCTATGGGCTCAGCTTTTACCGCATGTACTCTTTCATCATTTTAACATGAAAACTTCTCAAAACTTCTCTGCTTAACTGTTTCTTTCCCAGAAAGAAGCAGTTATGGAGCTTGTTTTCCATTACCTTCAATAGCAAATGGGAGAAAGTTTTAATGGATCAGTTCTTCTATGTTTTTTTTGCATGTCTGCCTCTGTTTTCTTAAACCCCCAGTCTGCCTCAGCAGAAGGGTTGCTCACACTGAGTGTTTTGCTCTAGGTTTCTTCCAGTTTTTCCTCTTCACTGTGGCTGAATGCATGCATGGTTTGAGAGATCCTGTAGAGTAGAAAACACAGTGCAAGTTATTTTCAACAGTCGCTACAAGCTCATCCAGAATAAGCGAATCCTGCGAAGCCAATGACCTGACGAAATCAACTGGGTAAAAAAAAACAACACTTTTACTCAGTCTGTCTGAAGTCTGTCTGTTTGATAGAATTGTGTCTGTAAAGTGCCTTCATATGAAATATATTTGAATTGGCACTATATGATAAACAATAATGGCCTGAATTAAATTGAACATAATTCTCTTTGGAGTTAAAGATTAGAAAACTGATTTTATCCTATTAGGTAAAGAACAAAGCAGACTTTTCATTGATCATTTTTAGTACATATTGTTTAACTTCCTTGATTTTTTTCTTCTATCTTTGTGTTGTCTGTATATTTGGATGAAAAAAATCCACAAAAATGTAATTCGTTTAACAATTAATGGACAAAAAAGTATCTTATGCCATCTTATCTTAATCCTTTCCTAAATTCAGATAACAAAAAAAAATAAATGTTTGTAGCGCCTGAAGTGAAACTTATAATGGATTGTAGATATTAGAGTATTCTAATAAATGTTGTGTGTATTAGAATAAACACAGAGAGATGAGGCTTAAGCATTTATTTTTTAATTGCATTTTATTTTATTTCACCCGAGAAAAGCATGGATAAGAATAAAAAACTATTACGTTGACCCTTATCCAGCAAGCTTTTAGTGCCACCTTTAAGGATGCTACCTTTTGTGCTCCACTGCTCACTCCATCAGAGCAGCCGGCTCCTAAATGCCAAAGCTCTGCTGAGGAAAACCCACAGTGTTTTAACTCTTCTGCCCTCTCTTTGAACGCATCCTCAGCAAGGCTGAGCTCTCATCACACATTATCTCCTTCGGGATTATAGAAGTCCATGCTCGAGAGCCATCCGTCTTCAGACTCTCACTGTAACAAGTGTGTGTCGTAAGAATAAAAAAAAAAAATTAATCTATTCTGAAGAATCTGTAGATTATAACATGTATGGTTTTTTTACACAGTGATAGTGTGAAAAGCTTAATCTGAGAGGATATATGTGAAGATTAAAAGTTTTAAATAGTTTGTAAGGATCACCAGTATTTATATTGGAGAACATCGAATTAAAATAGAAAAAAAATTATTTTCTAACTCAACGGTAGAGAACAAAGCTTTCAAACTACTTTTGGAAAAAGTAAAGATTTATGAATATTTCTAATCCTAGAAAATAAAATATGAAGTTTAAGAAAAAATCCTATACAAAATGAAAACATACTCAACCACGACACTGATCAAAAGGTACAAGATGAATGGATAGTTAAAAAGCAACAGCAAATTACAAAACTACTTGCAGTATAATCAGGTACTACATGAGGAAGGAGACCTTAGTGCAATAAAAAGACATATTCCATATTACATTTTATGCATCCAAGAGCATATATATATATATATATATATATATATATATATATATATATATATATATATATATATATATATATATATATATATATATATATATATATATATATATATGCTCTTATATATATATATATATATATATATATAAATATATATATGTGTATGTGTTTAAAATATATATTTTTTTTCAGTTATGAAAGATCTGCCATTCAGGCACAAAACATAATTAGATTTTCCCTTTTGACGTACAGCTTTTCAGACAGTAAATGAACATTTCCATTCCATAAAGTGCAGCAGTGATCAAATGTTTAATTGTTGTTATAATTTAAATAGTTTTTTAGTTTTTTTTGTTTTCTTCTTTCAATTTTCCAGAGTTACAAATACCTTATTTGATTAGATTAAAAACAAAGAAAAAACACAAAAATCTTTGTGTTTCCACACAATTAATCGATCAAACATTTCTGGGTATAAGTACTCAAATAAAGATCTACGTTGTTAAAGGAGGATATGTTCGCCAAGGATGACACCGAAATCGATGCCAGAGGCTTGTTGTCAGAACTGTAGGCCAGGATCTGACTGCTGCATGAATCATAGTAATTGGCTCTTGTCTCAGTGGTGGAGTACATCTATTAACTTGGAGGTGTTAGATGGAGGCAGCTTTTGGGTTGCTTATTTATATTGTGAGAAGACAAGTTGATATAAATGGGTCTGCCTTTTTAAGAAGTTTCAGTATGCTTTTTGGGGATGAAAGTCAGGATTCAATCCAAGTCATGCACAGAGCAAGAAACAAGGTATATTAAGGTCAAGGTGCCACTTCACTGGATGGCAAACCTTCAGTAGTAGCCATTCAAAATTTCCCCACTTTCCTTGATGGACCCTTGACTGCTCCCCTATAATTGTTTTTAAACACCAATCTTTGTACTAAAATATTCTTTCTGTCATTATTTGTGGAAATTAAGATCTAAAGAGAAGCATCAGCTCCTGGTCAGACCCTTTAATTCACTGAAAGGGTGGAGTCAGAGTAAAAACATATGCAGCCCCAGGCGAAGGCCAGTGGCTGGAAGTTGGAGGGGATTTTGATGGGAGTTGCAGGGAAGTGGGCTGCCATTTGGCTGGCTTTTGACTGAGAAGGGTCACATTGAATGGCTGCTACTGTAGGCATGAACAATTATGGTCACATGTAATTATACCCTTAGTGAGTTTCCATCCATCCATCCATCCATCCATCCATCCATCCATCCATCCATCCATCTTCCTCCGCTTAAGAAGGGAGGCCCAGACTTCCCTCTCCCCAGCCACTTCTTCTAGCCCCTCAGGCGTTCCCAGGCCAGCCGAGAAACATAGTCTCTCCAGCGTGTCCTGGGTCTTCCCCGGAGCCTCCCCCTGGTGGGACGTGCCTGGAATGCCTCACCAGCTTCATTCTGATTTATTTTATGAGTCCTTGAACTTATGATAGTGTTATATTTGCCTCTGATGACATCTGTTTCATTTATTCTTTGTACAGCATTTTGGTTATGCATGCACTTGAAATACTCTAAAAATAAAGCGACTATAGTAATTAAGGTGATTAACTTTGTGTCCATATTTTAATCAAAGTTTGGACGGGGCTGGAGATTTGGGTTTGTATTGAAGAACTACGGAATACAGCTAGAAAATCAAATCCACATCAAACACAACTCCGAATACAGAATTAGAACCTAAATAGAATACTACAACCAAAACAAGAGAAGTTGTAAAAATGTTTTTTCCTTATTGTTTCATAGAGGTGTGTGACAGCCCTTTGGTGTCCAGCCTGCTGCCTTCATCCTTCAGAAGCTCCTCCCATCTTTCCAGCAGCCACTCAGCGGGATTCGCCAAACTCAACCGGAGAGATGGTAAGCTCATCTGATTGTAACCTAATGATGTATGGGGTGATAATTACTCACTGTTAGATTTTAAACAGTCCTTTATTTGAATAGAGACAAGGAACTCAAAACTCAACACATTTGATGGTTACGTTTTATGTTCAGCATAAAACATCCATCAGGCATTTTAAATGCAGCCACTTACACTGCTGGCTGAGGAGCAACTGTACTTATTTTTCAGTTTAATATATTCTTTTTTAATCCCATGACCCCAAAATTCATAAACAAACATAAAATATCTAACAGAGAAAGAGAAAATAAAACTCACACTTTTCTGAAATCACTGATGATAAAAAATAATGGTAAACCATTTAAGGTCCTTTCATTTTCTAACTATTTTTTGTTAGAAAAATTATTTTAGAAATCTTTGTATTGCCATAATTTTCAACCATTTTTTTTAAAATGCAAGCATCATTTCCCACAAGTTTCTACATAAATCATTATATATTATTATATAGGTTGTAATTTTTGGTGGCTGTTGTTTTTAGTTTGCAATATCCACTTGTCACTGTTGTAAAAAAAAAAAAGATGTATTTCTCTATTTAAACACATTTCAAAGTCACATTGCATCAGTGCAACAAGGCTTTTAAGGAATATAAGTTTAAAGAACATGTTTAGGGAGCAAGAGGATGCAAAGGTACAAAAAATATATTATTGATTTCTTATGCATTAGATTCTGTTTCACTTTTCTGTACCCTCGATATGTCATCTATGTAGTCTGAAAAAAATACTGACCGCAAAGTGCCGCCATAAAGTATGCGGGCAGTTGTATTATGCTACGTTCACGCCGGACGCAGCAAAAGCAGCAAAATCCCGTCTGCTGCTTCATTTTTACTGCTTGTACCAGTTAGTTCTCACGCGTGGCTGAAGCAGCTTTGCTGCTCTGGCTGCGCGGTGCAAAAGTGTGTCTGAGGCGCGTTGGGCGGAGCTTCACTATCCTTTCTCTGCCTTGCAGCTATATTTGCTGTGATCAGTGGGAATAAAGTAGTTTTAATATGTTTTTAAATGAGAAAATACACTTGAAAACTTCATCAGTGCAGTCAGTTCATCCAGATAACAATCCTGCCTTCCAATGTTATTTCTGTCGGAGCCGCTCAGACCCCCACATACCAGCAGTGCACCGACAGTAGGAATCCCTTCATCAGCAGCCTCTGGCCGGGTCGCCTCATCGCGGTTCACCACGGCGGCTGGTAGGGGTTTTTCATGTAAATAATCCAAACTGCAGGAACCAGAATAATAAAAGCGAACATATTCTGCCGGCAGATTTCTGCATTTTAAGTTAATTTAGGCGTCAATAAACTGTTTCAGAGAAGTGATCACAGCGCTCTGTATCATCAGCGCTGTGTCTGTCTCTCTGCCAGCTCCCAGATCAGCTTCTCTGATTGGTTGTTGCGGCGCGTCGAGCAGCAACAGTTAAATTTTTCCATCTCGAGCAGCAGCGCGTTTGTGGCGCGTCACGTGCGTCCGATGCTTAAACGCTCGCGATGCGCTGTGCCTGCTGCTCAGACGCGCTGCGCCTGCTGCTCAAAAGTGCTGCGGGACCTTTTGCTGCGCCTTGACGCGCGTCAACCATTGACTTTGCATGTAAACTCGCTGCTTCTGTCGCGCCTGCTGCGTCTGATGTGAACGCAGCATTAGTAAAAGGTTAAAATGACTCAAGCTACAAGAATGACGTGACGATACAATTAAAAAAGACTTGATAACCAATACCTGTGAAATATTTTCTGTTAAATTTGAGAGATTTTAATATTTTGTTATTTGTTGTTTTTTTTTTTGCTAATTTACATAGAAAATTGCAGAAAATAGTATAAAGAAATATGACACCAAATTGTAACTTTATTTTTGTTTTACTTTATACCAGTTGTACAACGACAACAGCCTAAAAAACACATATATTTTTTAAAAGATCTACAGTAATTACCGTTTCAACAGGTTTTATCCACTTCTCAATAAGACTAGTTGGCTCTGCTGGTAATACACAGCAAAGTTTTTGTTTTCTTTAAATACAACTATTATTTAAACAGTGTTTATTATGTTTTTATTGAATTAAAATTAAACGAAATTCAGTTTATTAGTACAGCGAAAAATTCACAACAAGTCATTACCTCACAGAATCGATTCAGTGAAATCATACAGACTGATTACAAGGTTTCTATATAAGGGAATTAATTGCATCAATTCATTGACTTTGCAGGATTCACTCTGCATAGATGAGCTCGTGTGACAGTAGATATTATCTCGCATTAAATCACTGACTCTGCAGCAATCCGTTACACTGGCAGTTAATACAGGCAGCGACAGTGGGGAGAAAAAATACATCCTTTTAGCAGGAGGAAAACTCCAGCAGAAATGGGCTCAGTGTAGGTGGCCTTCTGCTGTGGCTCACTGGGGTTTTGCTTTATTGCCTTATCACAGTAGATCAGATTCAGATAGAGAGAAAAATTAGACCTAATTTTACATTAACCAAATACAGTTCATGTATTCTATGTTCTCTCTTAAAGCAAAAAATGCCTTTATTAAAAAAAAGACAGCTAAAAACTGAATTCCCTTTAACGACCACCCTTTCAGAGACTTAGACGGGGGATTGCAGGCCAACACACATTCCAAAGGGGTGGACCAGTTCGTCCGTTATAAAATAAAAACAAGGCTTTGTTGAGCTAACGTATAAAGCCTCAAAATCAACACTATTCCTGACATTTAAATTGAAAAAGCTTCCTGGATGGGAAGTGAATTGTCTTCAAACTTGGATACAAAGTCCAGTGGATTGTTTTTAAGTTTATTTTTTAGAATGACTATGACCTGGATTCAGTAACAGTTAAAAAAAAAAAAGGAAGCTTCACCAACAACTGAAAACATGTTTTTTTTTTATTTGCTCTGTTTTTTTATACTGTGCAACTGTTTTATTGTTTATGCACATTTGAAAGCTCTAACTATAGCTTGCAGGATTTCCTTTGTAGCACCTTGAGATTTGTTTTGTTTTTTTTAAAGTAAAGCACTTTATAAATGAAATCCATTGTTTTTATTTATTTATTCTAAAGAGATCATTGTGTATAATTCGTACATAAAGGAGTTCAGAATTCAAACACACAAAAGCACATAATCTTTATCAAAATGTCTGAATAAGTCTTCAACTCTGAAACGCAAAAGCCAAAATAGCTTTTTTTTTCCCTCTCAAAGGAAAAGTGAGAGCAGTAACTAGGTGTTGAAGTACATGCAGGATCAAAGTGTATTTTGACAAACAAGACAGAACATGATTGAGTTGCTTTGTCTTTATCCTCTGCTGTTACTGAAGTTCTGCTTTTTTTCCCTTTTTGCACTGAAAGCTTGTATCAGACATGCAAGTGTGAATAGTGATTGTTCAACCAGCTGGAAGTCCTGTGCAGGAAGCTGATGTGAGGCTTTGCAAAACCTGAGATTTTTGGATCGCTGCTTTATATCAACATCAAAGCCCAGAATAATCCGGGAAGGCAGGGCAGGTTTAATCTGGCTGTGACTGATTCTCACCACCTGGGAAGGCAAAGGAAGCTGAGCATGATGAAATTCAACAAAAGCCCATCTGCTATCTTTGTTTGTTCACATGCGAACAACCAGGATCTGAAAAACGAAAAACATTTTAGAAAGTAAACATACAGCATTTACAAAATGTGCTCGGCATACAAAGCTTTACTGGTGAAATCGGGTAGGTTTTCATACCTTCTGTATTTAAATATAATTAAAAAGTCATTTTGATTTATATGTAATAAAATAATGTGCTCTGTTTTCTTTTAATAGAATATCTTGATGTTGTAATTGACTGCTAGATAAGCTTGATCATAAACAATACTCTTTATATATATTTTCCTACTGCTGTCGACATAAAAACGATTCAGTTTCCCATTTTCTCTGGACGATGTCCGCAAGGTTATTTACCCATATACAATCGGAAAAAAGTCTAAGAAACTTAAAACTCAAACTACAAACTTTACTAAAATGAATTGTTAAAAAAAAAAAAAAAAAAAAAAAAAAAAAAAAGAATTTACATTACTAAAGAATGAGCACAATTAAGTGCAACGGAATAGGAGAGAAAATGCAAAAACATAAAATACTCTTTGAAGAGACAAGGTGCTAATAACAGCATAATAAGTGCCTTATTATTTTATTTTTTTCCCCTTTTCTGTATGCTTTAGATAATACGCACTACAGAAGATGTTTATTAGGAAACTCCAAATATACAAAGTGTGGTTGGTGAACAAATGGGAGCATGTAGCTGTTTGTTTTCCTCACACTGGATTAAAACCATCTTAATGTATCAATCACCTCCACAAGAGTTTGAATACTGCTGGGTCACATTTATTTAGAATTTATTTTCATTCACACAATGTTTTTTTTTTCTCCATTGCTTTTGTAGCTAATGCTAAAGTCCCAAATCTGATGGATGTTTATGAACAATGTGCAGATTCTCTCTCTGTCAAGGTTGGTTGTGGTTTGGAGGAGCCAAATGCAGAGGCAGAGAGGCTGAGGTGAATACTCGTAGGATAACAAAAAAACATGAGAACTAACAAATCTAGAAAATAAAAAAGGAATTAAACCAATAAACTAGGAATCATAGAACAAAGTAAAGCACAATATAACCAAAACCATGACACTCTCTAGATATGAAAAATAGGTCTTCTCCATCAGTTTCTTTCTTGAGTAGCAAAATTAACTGGATTGCTTTTTTTACCTAATCATTATGAGAATTTGCAAGGCTATTGGGGTTTTAACTCGGTGCAACCTTTTGTTCACAAAGTCCAGAAAGTCCAGCTATACAAATTTATTCACACCAAATCCAAAATCAGTTTTTTGTGAGTGATCGCTGTAAGATGCTTGGACAATATCTCTAAAGCCTAAATATGTTTGATCCATTCTGGAAATGGTGTAAAACTGTTCCTGCTTTAGCCCTTAAATATAAATAAATGCATCTGCTAAATGCAGATGCTAAATGCAGGTGC